GACGCGACCGCACGTGGAAGCGCGACCGGAAAGACGCGCGCCAGGCCGAGGGACGGGCGAAAAACGGAACCACCCCCGGGGCCCGTAGCAACCCCCCTGGGGGTGGGAACGGGAAAACCCGCGAGGAGAACGGAGACCCGGCCGCGAGGGGTCCGCCGAACGAACATCAAGGGCGCGGGACGCGCTGGGACGGCGTGGCGGGGACCGATGTTCAGAGGGTCGCGGGGTAAATCGTATAACTTTATAGAAGAGATTATAAATGTTATTCAAAGTTCAGCTGAAGAATTTTCTAGATAATGAACCGTTTGCAACCTCTGGGGTTACTAAATTTTAATTTCTTGGTTGTTTCAGGCAATTGATGAACCCAATTTCAGTGAAGCTTATGCCAAAATGTGTAAAATATTGTCTACTGGTCAATACATGAACATCAGCGACAAAGAGAATTTCGACAAAAATCAAACAGACTTTAGAAGAGTTCTCTTGAATTGTTGCCAAAAGCAGTTCGAACTTAGGGAAAAAATTGAAGCTGACTACAAAGAGAAAATAAAGAATGATATGAAAGAAGTAACAGATCCTGTAAGTCCTTTTGGATTTCTTTTGATTTCATTAATTTATCTGCATCCCAAGTTCAATTTTGAGATGGAGAAAGAATTTCTCCTGGTTCTAGTTTTACTTCCTGAGGGACTCTAAAATGAATGTTATAAGCTGGACTCATGATGATTTGTCTAATCTTCTCAGAGAGAAATTTTAGATTTCTTTGATCGCAACAAATCTGTCTGATGGTTCGCCAAAAGTAACCAGAACATAATTCACATACAACTGAAAAGTAAGCAATGAGGGTGGTGATGTACATTGGAAATAATTAAGACTTAAAGATGAAAATTTTAAGCATGAAAAAAAATATGTAGGTTTTTCCTATCAAATGCTCTGTAAGCAAAAAAAGTTAGAACTTGAAAAATAAATACCTCAACAGCATTCAAGCAAGGGGGTGCTAAAACATAACTCATCTAGTTTTGGCATGTTTTGACTCCATGCCAAATTTGAACATCTGAAGAAGAGAATTGATAGAATTCAGTCTGGTCAATTTCCTCTCTTTACATTTCTTTTTCTAACTGCCAATAAATTGTATGCCACTTGCAGTCACTCTGTGACAGAATCAATAAAAAATGCCACCTTCATTTTCTCTGAATCACTTCTTATCGTAAATGTAGATCATAATCAAGTTTTTTTATTATATTCTTCATCCCTCTTTCCTACTCTCTTTCTATTTTTAATCCATTTGCTCTTTCTATCTAGGAAAAAGTGAAAGAATTGAAACTAAACCATCAGGAAGAAGAGCGAAAAATTAGGATGAAGGCAGCTGGTCACTGTCGGTAAGTCACCCTTAACTCGTAAAACTGAATGAAAGCCAACACTTCTAAAATCTCTACGTAATAAATCTTTGTCAATAATTCTGCTTTAGAAGAGAAGAAGAAAGGTGCCCATAAATAATTTATTCTGATGTGTCCGGCTTGAGATGTTGTCTGTGTTTTTGCACTAAGAATATGACTATTGAAACTTTGCCATTGTCCTCTTTGATGATTTCAGTGAAGTTGGTGCTCCCTCTCAATTCTAATCCTCGGTCCTTCGTAATTTATGTAGTGTTAGATGTTTAGATAGCACTCCTACTGCCAATAAACATTTGAAGCAGTTGAAGTGATGAACACCCATAACTATCAATTCGACAACTTTGATCATAAATGATTGATTGGGTGTGGGAGGAAAACCGATTATTGATCCCTGGTGTGGGGACTTGAAACAAATTTTATTTAGAGGTTCGGTACTTATTTTGTGCCCGAAGCTCTAAGCTGCCATTTTATTTGAGTCGGAACTTCCAATTCGGTGACTAACAAATTGCAACATTGGTGCGTGATATTGGTACCACCTCTTGAGGTGCTTCTAAAAAAGGTTCGACCTATCGAAAACCAACGGATCTGATTGGTCGAATCTGGTAACAACAGTGTTCATTGATGTTGGTGATTGATGAGACAAATCGGGACAGAACTTCCCAAAGAGGCTTGGAACTTTAAATAAAATTCGTTTAATGTGTCCAAGGCTTGCAAAGAAAGGTCACCATGAAGCCATCTCTACTTTCCTTATACTTATGTTCAATTAACACCAGTGGGAAAACAAAATAATAAATGTTTCACCAGTTGATCGTCTGGAAAACCCTTCCCCCTTCTCTCTCTCTACAGCTCCAAAATATCACCCTTTTCTCGTGATGAAGGTCACTGCATAGAGCATTGCGCACCTAGGACCAGTGTGAGACAAGTTCCTGAAACTCACCAGTTGAGTATAGAATTCATCAGTTTGAAGATACCATGAAAGTTGACTTTTACAGCGAATAACTATTGTTATACTTTTTTCACTTGTGTCTAATGTTGTGACTTTATTCTATTCTGGTTTTTTTTCTATTTTTCAGTTTTATTGGAGAATTGTTCAAATTAGACATGCTGAAAACTAGCATTATGCACAATTGTATCATGTATTTGCTCAAGAAAACAGATGAAGAACCTTTAGAAAGTTTATGCAAGTTGCTAACAACAATAGGCAAACACTATGAAAGTAGACTGGAAAATAATAATGTGAGTACATATTATTCTCTCATTACATTGCATTCAAAAAAAGTTGATCGCATAGAAACTGCTTGGATCTTGTCACTTTCTTTTTTTTGTAATGGAAGACCAACGAATAGCCCCAGAATGTTATCATGTAGCAAAATTGAAAAATTAGTAATAATATAAGAAAAATAATTTCTCGATTCCTACTCTGAGTGTCTTTAAACATGTTACTTTCCAATATGTCTTTGCTGAAAATTGTCTGCTAAGTCAAGAAAACATTCAAGAAGATTGGGAAATAAAATGACTGTGAATCACTTTTACTGGATATTACTGTTATGTTTATATTAGCGCTACCTCAATATATATTGGATATTCCATTATAAATTACACAGTAGATCCACAGGTTGTATTTGTGGCACTTGGCATCATGACGGACCGATAGGCAGAAATGCCCGATCACAGTAATCTTTCTGGCTTATGCTAAACATCCCTAAAGAACAGTAATCATGACTGAATTGCAGAGGGTCAATTAGAGTCAAAATGGCTTACATCTAAAGCCTCTCCTCACTTGATTTTCATGCTTATTTTTTCTGTGTCATACGCACAGATTCCATGAAGCATTGTCGGTTACTTCTCTATTGGATCAATCTGTGTGTTTACTAATCTCATCTGTAAATTTTTTTTCTATTCGCAGCAAGCACTTGATCCTATTATGAATGAATTAGCAAAATTAGCAAGTAAGAATAATAAGCAAAAGAAGAAGAATGCTCCCCAAATTTCATCAAGAATTAGGTTCATGATCCAAGATGTGTTGGATTTGAGGGCGAACAATTGGGTGCCCAGGAGAGATGACAATACACCGAAAACAATCGACCAGATCCACAAAGAGGCTGAGCGGGAGCAGTTAGAGACGAGTATATCATTAGCAAACACTAGTATGAAGAAACTAGACAGGCCAAGGATGGACGACCGGGGAAAGCGGGGTGGTAGTCGAGATAGCTTCATGAACTCGGATGGAGATTCATGGCAGACTCCAAAGAACGTGTCAAGAATGAGTTCTTCATACAAGAGCTCTTCGTATCCGATCGATACCTCCAAGTTCGAAAACTTCAAAATGAGCATTGAACAACCCATGGAAAACATCCGATTAGGAATGGCCAGACCAAACATTTGGGCCAGTGGGGCTGTTACCAACAAAGGAAATCAGCCTGACCAGTCCAGAAACAAAATACCCGAAAGGAATCAATTTGCTGCACTACTCGAGCAGCAAGACAGGGATAATAACCAATTTTTCACTAATTCTAATAAATCCTCATCCATCAGTAGAGATAAAAGTAGAGATAGTCGCAACATGTCGCAAGACGATGACATGCTGCCCAAAAGTAGACCAATGGGAGGCCCTCCATCGCGAGAGGGCTCACACATGCGCTCTGCTCCTCCTAGCATACAACCGCCAGTGGCTCCAGTCAAACCTGTTATCGATTCAGAGGTTATGACCAAAATAATTAAAACAACGTTAGACGAATACATTAGTTTGAAACAAATCTCGGTAAGTTCCAGAATATCAATCTATTTATTTATTTTGGTCGTATAATGACCTTTGCAATTACGATAATATCATTTCAAAGCCCATCATCATTAATAAACTAAGTGCCATAAAGTTAATTTCAATCTATTCTGACTTTTACGAGTATCTCAGACAAATGCTGCAAAGCAGACCACTAATGCTGTCTTACGGATGTCGTTCACGTGTGCACTTGTTGGCAGCACTCACAAGGGGAGCTTTCCAAGTATAACCGGAATTTCGAGTCGAAATTTCGCATGAAGATACTAGAGATGATTTTAGGGATGCTGTATTTTTTCGTTTTTTCGAATGGGGTCGGGAAAGCCCTCAAAAAAAGGGCTAAAGATGCGGAAAAAACGCGTGCGCTAGCGGCACAATGTAAACGTAGGTGATAGAGGCTCTCCATCCTTATCAGTTCCGCATGGCCAAACGGTAGCGTGCTCGCCTCGCAGGCGGGAGGTGGTAGGTTCGGATCCTGACTACAACCCGTAATTTTATTTTACTTAATGCTTGTTTATTTTTCACTTACTTTATTTTGCACCATTCTCTCCGCAAACCGACTTATGAGGTAGAACACGTAGTGACTGAAGATTTTTTACAAATGTTGATAAAAACTTGAAGTTTCCTGGGATTGAAACGTTTTATATTATTGAATAAACAAAAACTCTAAAACTCACCAAATTTCGTCGCCAAGCTGAATTTCCGGAGTATCAGTCAGATATAGATACAGATTCGACTGATACTTCGAAAATTCAGCTTGGCGACGAAATTTGGTGAGTTTTAGAGTTTTTGTTTATTCAATTATATATAACGTTTCAATCAAAGAGAAACTTCAAGTTTTTATCAGCATAGGTATGTCAAAATCTTCAGTCACTACATGTTCTACCTTGTAAGTCGGTTTGCGGAGAGAATGGTGCAAAATAAAGTAAGTGAAAATAAACAAGCATAAAGTAAAATAAAATTACGGGCTGTAGTCAGGATCCGAACCTACGACCTCCCGCCTGCGAGGCGAGCACGCTACCGTTTGGCCATGCGGAACTGATAAGGATGGAGAGCCTCTATCACCCACGTTTACCTTGTGTCGCTATCGCATGCGTTTTTCCCGCATCTTTAGCCCTTTTTTTGAGGGCTTTCCCGACCCCATTTGAAAAAACGAAAAAATACGGCATCCCTAAAATCATCTCTAGTATCCTCATGCGAAATTTCAATTCGAAATTCCGGTTACACTTGGGAAGCTCCCCTTGTCAACTAGTTATGCAGAAAGTTGTCTTTGATGCTTTAAATGAAATGCCACGCCTAACTCGATTTTCGTTTTCTCGGCACTCAGTGAATTATTGCTGATAAGTCTGCTTTTCATTCTGAATTTTCTGTGTACTGTCTGTTGCACTGAAATTGGCACTCAACAGTCAGTCAAGTTTTCATGATAGCCAATTTTGATGAGTGATCATTTTGAAATGATGCACGTCATATGCAGCATCTATAAAAAATCAGCCCCACTTCAACTCAAAATTTCATTCCCAGTACTGCTGTGTCCTCTTAGAGTACAGTTGGAGAATGAAAAATTTCTGTAGAAAAGTCAATTTTTTATACTTTAGGCTGATGAAGGTCACGGAGTGCTCGTTCGAAAGCGATAGCATAAGCTACAAGCTTGAAAATTTACTAGTGAGAATGCTAAAAATTCTTATAATATTCATTTGTCTTGTGTCTCACCCAGTATAAGGCTTTTCAAGCGGCAAGCTCCCACAAACTGTGTTTCAATATCATTAATATTTTTCTTGAAACAGGCAAATTCTCAGTTCTTTTGAGATAGTCTTTGAAGTCCAAATGCACTGGTTTCTCCTCTTGAAAGGGTATCCCAGGATAAGGGCACCAAAATGCCCCTCCTCACGGATTTTGAATTTAATGGTCTAAACCCCTTCAGGAGGTCCTAAAAACATGGTTTTGGGCAATTTTAACCTCCTGACCCCAACCACCCCCCCTCCAGCCCCGAAAAACCCATTTTTCGGGGAATTTTGGGGTATTTTCACGTTTTATTTCATATCTCCCGCGTTTTTCAATGAAAATGCACCAAAATTTTAGTAAAGTACTCTAAAAAGTATGTTACCTACAAAAATTTCAAAGTCGTAGAAACATTTCAACGGGAGAAAAAAAATTCGCAAAATGACGAAAAAACGCGTCTTTGCACGCCACGCTCGGAACTTTAGGCTCTTTGAGGCGCGTTTTAAAATATTTTTTTCTCCATTGTTATTTTTTCCCAGTTATTTTCTCATCAAATGAAACCATTTGCAGGGCTCTGCACTTTAAATTCCGTAAAGTCAAAAATAAGGGCCACCCTACGGCGAGTAACCTCTTCTGAAATAGGAATGTTGACCATTTTGGCGCCAAAAACCGGTACTTTACGTGGGGCGTAAGGACTCGATCGACTTGAAACCTTTTCTGACGATACTAGGGCATGCTTCTTGAAACATTGAAACCAAAAATTAGAGATTTTAGTGTTACCATCTTGATAGCGTGCGAGTAAACCGTTGCCAAAAGAGCCATTTTGACCGTTTTGGCGCCAAAAAAACTATTTTTTCGGTGGGACGCACCACGCGTGAAGGCTTGAAATTTTTTTTGGTAACAACTGAGTATATTACCTACATTTTAAGGCAATACAAAAAAATGTATGTGTCCTCATTTTTTTTAAAACCGCTAAAATCTGAAAAAAAATTGAAAATTTACGATTTTCAGGAATTTTTTTCGGAGTCTAAATATATTTCGATAAATTTGATTTTTTTACCGAAGAATGTGAATGCCCTGATGTACATTTGGTGAAATTTTGGTGCATTTTCATTGAAAAACGCGGGAGATATGAAATAAAACGTGAAAATACCCCAAAATTCCCCGAAAAATGGGTTTTTCGGGGCTGGAGGGGGGTGGTTGGGGTCAGGAGGTTAAAATTGCCCAAAACCATGTTTTTAGGACCTCCTGAAGGGGTTTAGACCATTAATTCAAAATCCGTGAGGAGGGGCATTTTGGTGCCCTTATCCTGGGATACCCTTTCTTAGAAGTGTTCCCAAGAAAAAAATTATTAACACCAACTGAAAGTCTACTCACATCATCAAATATGTTTATATCATTAGATGATTTCGTAAAATCCATATTTTCTACCTATTGGAAAGAAGAAGTCTTTTGTTCCTAAATGCTTTTGCCAATTTAAATTATCTTAATATTCACCCAAAGGCACAAGTATTTTGTTTTCACTTGTTTGCAATGATCCGTAAAACTGTCAATTTCCTGTAATACATGCTCTTCTCTTGACCCCTCAGCGAAATTTTCGAGATATCTCTCCTTTTCTTCAATTTGACTGGATATTAAAAACTTCTCCTAAAAATTATTTCAAATCTTGAGTATTTTAGGTTAACACGGCGTAAATATTAACATTCAGACGTTGTCCAGATTTTGATTACATTCACCAATTCATCTTTTAATTATTTAATTTGATTTTTTCAGGAGGTGGAACTTACGTTGAAAGCAAAGTTTGTTACGCCTGCATGTATAGAAAAGTTTGTAGATGGCTTCCTTGAATATTTCATGGAACTAAGGAAAGATCAGGATATAGTTGCTCCTGTACTTGGACTTCTTTTAGATTCTAAATTAATTACTCTTACACCTCAAATTATTGCTAAACAGTAAGCATATTTTACTTTTTACTTTAAAATTTAAATTTTAGGTCGAATTAGGATGCTTGTAAATGCAGTAATTTTTCCTGAATTTATCAGAACCTATCCACTGTCTTAGAATAATTCCCAGACAAGTTTTTAGGCCAAAGTTTGCTTCAAGTTCCTTCAGTTAATCAATTTCTGTCCATAATTATCATCACTCTTCTAGTGTTGAGCTCATCACTCCATCTAACACCCAGTCAGTGGCCCAATTACTGAAACTATGTTGATACAATACGACAAGACATAGTCGTATCTTAACCATGCAATATATTGCAATTCAATGTCTCTTTGAGCGGTAAGCTTTCACTAATCGGTCGCTGTGAAGACTCAGGAGCTTAGTTCGAAATTCCCTGATGAACTTGAGGAAAACCATATTTCTTTACATTTCCATTTTCATGATAAAAAAGAGAACACATGAACTCAACTGATTATGATGGTTTTTAAATTTTGTTTATGTATAGAGTGAACCTTCGTTTCGTGGCTGGAGGTTCCTGGGGTCCACTGAATGCTATTGAATGACTAGTTCCTTTCCCTATAATTTAACTTAGTCTCAATGAACTTAGTCGCCTCTTTCTCCCTCACCCTTATAATTTTTTAGTAGACTTAGTCGGTTAATTTTTTATGTACTTGAATTTTCAGTCCTTGCCCTAATTTTTCATATCGTCTTTTTTCAGATTCAGTGATTTCCTCTCACTCGCGGAAGATTTGATAATAGATTATCCCAAATTTTGGGATTATATGGCTTTGGTAATGGGTCACACATTAACGTCAGAACACTTCAATTTTGACCATTTGAGGCAATCGTGTAAATCTATTCTTCAATCTGACAATAGTAAAAAACTTTTACCTCTTATATTCAACGTAATTTCTTCATTAAAGGTGAGCACTCTTTCTTATCTCCAGTTTATTAAGTAGCGCTTTATTGTTTTTTTTATTATCAAGCAGAGGCTCAAAAGTTACTAAAACAGAACTTTTCATCTCGGTCCAATGTCCATTAATTTGTAAAACTGTATGCCATACCAAAGTGAGTAGTGAAGTAAGTCACATTAGTGTCAGTTTTTGTTACCTCTGAAGCAAATGCCTGGCAATTTCAATCAAAATAAGCACACAAAAGTATACAGGAAGGTCCGTAGTGTTTGCAATCAGTAGCAGTACATCAATTTTCCTTTTGTAGTTCTCCACAACATGGTCAGAGTATTGTATCCTAAAAATCAATGCAGTCTCAGTAACTTGAATAAAAAATCAAGCCTCATCCGAGAAATATATCCAGCAGGCTTGAGGAGATTCTGCTTACTTGTACATGTTACCAGTTATGTTTTGACATATCCGCTCATTGCTACGCTGTCAGTTATTTCTTCTCCTTTTTGTCACACCTACAATATTAGTTTATCAAGTAAACTCTGTTTTCTTTTTCAGACTGCAATTTGGATTAGTCACAAATGGAATGCCTCAAAAGTTTCTCTCAAGGACTTCATTCCGGAAAATGATGTTGATGAATTTATCAAAACAAACGTAAGAATTTTCACTAATTATTGGATCTCTCAACATTTGATTCTTCATAGTGTTGTGCCACACTCCAACAACACCCTAATTAATCAGACATTTATGCTGGAAATAATGTGAAAATGATTGAAGTCGAAAGGAACCATGTGCACAGGGTCTATTTGCTAAATGATAAAAAAATGATATTTATAATACACATAGTTACCATTAGAAAAACAACAGAAAAGGGGATAGTATTAAAAAAAAATTAAAGCATAGCACAGGTGAACATTTCGTTAGAGGAGTCATTCCATTCCATCCATGCTCACATCGCTGTCGCTTCCGCGCGCAAGTTGAGGAGAGCACAAGGTCAATCAAGGCGGATATCTATCAATGCGAGAAAAACGTGGATGTAAACTTGCTGTTTGTTATGAGGTGGTTAGAATTATCGTCTCGTCACATGTGTTTTGGCGGATTGGCATCAGCAATGTCGAATATTGCGTGGTATCCTTTTGAGCCGAGGTTGGATGGAAGGACTCCTCAAACAAAATTTTCACCTGTGTCGTGGTATCGTGTTTGAAGCGGGGAGCTCGAAAAAATGAAAATCTCTCATGCAAATTGTGAAGTAAGTAGTGCATTTCAGACTTTGCTAATGCGCTCATCATGATTTTTGAGACACTTTCTATGTGTTTCAACTCTTATTTTTGCTATAGCAAAAGTTTGCAACAGGCCCATTGGTCAAAGTAAACAAAAATGTGATAATAAATGCATTACGATGATTACATATCATCGGACTAAAGTTCAAAATGAAATACGCTGCAATTTTCCCAAGCAAAAATCATAATAGACTACCATTTATCAATGCTGAGTTTCCCAAGCGAATGGCTTGAGATGTTGTTTTTGAAATTTGCGAATTTTATGTAGGTCAACCACTGAAAAGTTTCTATGTAATGCTTCTATAGAAAAATATTACCAAAAAATTTTCATCTGCCAAGCAAGGGGTTGAAGCAAGGTGTTGGGATGTTCAAAGAATCTAATATCTCAGAAAATGCCAAGTTACAGATCTTTTCATACTTTGTCCAATGGCGCAATGGAAAATCAACATTTATGTGATCTCATGCACTAATTTAGTTCATTCTGAGTGGTGGTATTGACCGAATTTTTCTCCTTTTTTTCACAGAAATTAGAATATTTAACGGATCCTAATGCTCCTATCTTAAAGTCTAGCACCCCTACCTTTACGTTTGATGAAATCAAAACTAAACTGCTGCAAATTCTGCAAGATCATCCTGATGATGCCCTCGTGCCTGTTCAAAGCTGGGTCAGCGTAAGTATCATTGCCACTTTCTTACTTGTAACGTGTCAAATCCAAGGAATTCGATCCTATCTTGAAAAGAGGTTGCATCAGCTGGTTGTGGCACACTTGAGAACTGCAAGCAAAGTAGTGCTTGTCTCACCAAACTCTCTATGTAATGATTCATCGCTCATCATTAAACACAGCTGTCATAGAAATCATATTTTAAAATTTCTGAAAAGACTGCTGATACTGCATGAGGTTCAGTTTAGCTCTTGAACAAGCTTTCTTCTTTTCCGGCAAATTTTGGTGCTTTCAATTTATTCTACACAATAGAAATGGAAACCTAGCCTTCGATATGTAAAGATAACATACAATGCTTGATGTCAGATCCAGTCATTCATAGGTCTACTCAGAATCAGATATCTCTTCATGATCTTTTGTTTGATGCAATTCCACCCTTAAAACAATTGAACTTCATTTTGCAATATGGAACTACTATTTTCAGTCCATTTTAGAAACAATGCATGTGCCACTCGATTCCCTTTGCACTTAAGTGCTTTCATGGATGAGTTACAAATATTAGATCCTTATTGCTAAATGTAGCCAATTAACTGGTCCATCGCTCAGGTTGAACTGGTTCTTTTTTAAAGCTCTTCACATCTCTTGAAATCTGAGAGTTGTTTTATAGAATTTCAGTGCTACGTTCTCATTGTCTCTCCCTCCTCTTATTTTCTTTTCTTATGTTAAGATTAATTTTTCTCTCTCTTTTTTTGCAGGAAAATTGGGGACCCGGTCCATACGATCACAGTCTAATTCGTCCATTAATGACAGCTATTTGTGAAGCTTCAATTACAGGTATGAGAAGTCTCAAAATTTGCCCAACCCCTCAGTGGATTAAAGTTGGCAATTAATTTTTTTTTTTTTTTTTTTTTTTTTTTTCAAATGTTTCTATTTCTCAGGAAAGTTAAGACTCTGTAAAGCGTAGACTTTAAAGAATGAGAGGATAATCTAGGAGGAAACATTTTCTTTGCCAAGTACAATTTATAACGCTAGTCCAGTAAAAGCTGTAAGTACCATAGAACCCCGCACAGACCTTATGGGCAATGGCTCTCTCTAGAATCTGATGAAACTTGGATATGTTGCTCAGCTAGTCATTCTGATCAAAAGTTCTGATGGGCCGAAAGAGATCCCACGAGCGGTTTTCGAGATATTCGCCGTTTAATGTGCAGAAATTGAGGTTTCGCTGGCCGGACCATTGTGCGGCACCTCTCGAGTCCTTCCCCTCCAGTCCACTTCGGCCGCTCTCCGCTTTCCCGCCACCCATACCCGAGGCTTGGACTCGGACGCTCAAGAGGTTTTGCTTATCGCCGCCGAGCCGGGTGGTCTTATCACCGTGAGCGTCAGAGCCCGAGCCTCGGGTATGGGTGGCGGGGAAGCGGAGAGCGGCCAAAGTGGACTAGACGGGAAGGACACAAGAGGCGCCACACAACCGTCCGGCCAGCGAAACCTCAATCGCACCTAAAACGGCGAATATCTCAAAAACTGCTCGCGGGATCTCTTTCGGCCCAAAGAACTTTTGATCAGAATGACTAGCTGAGCAACATATCCAAGTTTCATCAGATTCTAGAGAGAGCCATTGCCCCTAAGGTCTGTGCAGGGTTGTTTGTTGTGAATAGCTGTAAAATTCAGTAACTAAGCAAGGATCGCTTTAGAAGAAAGGTTTGCCTAAAAAAGTCCTTGAGTGTACTCCTTATTTTTCTTATTTTCAAGTCTCTACAAAGCATTTAATTGTAGAAAATGGTACAATTTTACTTGAAAATCTCTGAATTCTGTATTGTCCTGTGATGGTGTATAATGAAACGTGATCGGTCGTTTTTACTCTCTTTGCAATGCAACTCAAACAAATTTTAAATCTGTAGCTTTGGCAGTATGTCATACTTTTGTCACCTCACTCAAGTAGCAGAAAATTTGGAGTTTGGTCAAGTAAAACTTTATTTTAAAAACCTAGAAAGTCCTTAAAAAAAATTTCCTATTGCTGTTTGAAAATTCATTGAAGTCCTTGATATTATTGAATAGAACTCTCTAAAATCTCTTAAAGTTAGTTCTTAATTACGGTTCTAGAAATCTTCCGTAAACTCAGAGACTCCAACAGTTCCCTTCTTATGTGGATTCCTGAAACTGCCATCTTGTGCAAGGTGTCTGCTGTATAAGCATGAGCTAATAGTGAAATTCTTCATTTGCTGCAGGTGCTGGAGAGAAGAACGTTTTCAACAAGGATGTTCTGGAAAAGCATTCCAAATTAATCAGTTATTATGTGGACTACAACCCTAATTTAGAAGCCCATTGTCTAATGGCAATCTGCGAATTAATGGAAAAACTACAGCACCCTAAAGGTATCGTATTTTGCTGCAATTTACAGTTTTCATTTATCGGTGAATTGAAGCGTATTTTCGTTGATGATTGGTCGAACCAAAATAGGTGGATCAAGTGGTTTCATATTTTGTTTTGACGGGATCATAATTTTTCGGAACAACATCGGGACTCACCAGACAGATAGAAGGTGGAATTCTTGCGAACGTTGGAGCCAAAATAGAATCCCACAAAAAGTGGGGTTTAGAAATGACCTGATGAAGATGATTGCATCAGACCAGAATCAATTTCGAAAGTCTTACCTCAAATGTTTACCAACCCGATATGATCTTTTGGCTCGACCGATCATCAACGAAAATACGCCTCTTCACACTTCATCTGCCACGTTGTTTAGGGTCCATATTTACCCCGGCGCCATAACATTCTAGCCCCCCTCCTTCCCTCAGCCGAGTATTGAAGAAAATAGGAGTTTGGTGGTACACTCTGTTGCTAGGGCCGTGTGCTGGTCGTGAGCCATTCAAGCATTCACAGGGATCCAGTGACCACGGGCTTACATGAGTGCTCGTTGTTACCGCATCCCAGTTGAAATGACTGGAGTGGTGCTTGCGGAAGCCCAAGAGGGAAGGCGGGGAAGGCAGACAGCACCCCGAAGATGTTACCACTTCCAACATACTCATGGTGATCGTTTTGCCTAAGTGTTTTTTTTATTTTATCATGAGAACTACTATGATCAGATCTGCACAATCAACTGTAAAAAAAATCTGTCCTTATAGAAAACATTGATTAATCTTTGTTTTTTATGCACTCATGAGCTGTCCACAGGCAACCTCTAAGTAAGAATGCTCCTTGAATTAGTTATGATTTTGTTCAATCACACAGATATTAACACTGTCCTGTGATTCGGGCACTATGACGGCTATAGTGAAGGGAAGTTAGAAAAAGCTATGGGAAAGAAGTGGCTCAAGAAATGATTGTGTTTATCCTGTGTCTAAATTTTCCTTTGTCACGTCTCATAAGTTCAACGTATCTCTTAGCTAGACTGGAAAACTTTTGAGGGGAAAAAGAAATGTAATCAAAAGCGGTCTGAAAAACTTGGAATAGCCAGGAAATTTCAGTTTTAAGTTTTTGTGGTCACTCCTTAACGCATGCCCTAGGAACTCAGATCATTTCATTATTTCCTAAATTAATTAATGCTTTTTGTTAAATCTTCCTTTCTGTTTGATGATGAATCAGTAATTTTACTTCATCTCCAAGGTTATGCATTTACAGTTTTATCAACAAAGTTATCTTAGGTAACAAGTTCTAAGTTATAAGTAACAACTGAATTTAGATCGGACCCGGAGTATGAGTCCATAAAACATGGGCGAGTTGCCTTCTCCAATCTTTCTTATCGGTAAAAGCAGGTAGCAATGTCAGGTCATCGTCAGCTATGCTGCCATTTGTTCAGGTAGCTGCTGCTCGGGAAATGTATAACACCTGGGCTATAATGGGCCCTTTTTCTGAATGCGGGTGATAGAATGTTGAGGAGGAATTGTTTAAAGTTAATTTGATTTTTTTTATCTCTTTTAATTTGTGTTAAATTTTTTTCTACTCCAGGTCTTGCCTTAAACTTCTTCCAACACTTACTGGAGCACACAATGTCTATAGAAGGATTTAAAAGGTTCCATGCTGGCTCAGAAATGGACCCACCTGAGAACAGCGAGCAAAATCGGATACGAGGAATCGTCGTTCTAGGCACTCGTTCATTCTGGACGGCTGCATTTGAAAACCTAGAAAACAGTGATGATGAGGGAACTTCTTGATTAATTTAACTTTGTGTCATTGGTAGGTAAAGGACCATAAATTATCTTTTTGTGCATCTTTGTTTTCAATTTTTCACTTCCTAAATTTGGGAGCATGCTACTGAAAAAGTCTAGGGTGAATCTTCACTGGGCATGAACACAAATTGAAGCATTTCGAGCTGAGTCTGAGTATTTTTTCACTGTTTTGAGCCCAGTTCGAGTAATTTTGAGTTTTCACATGTGATTTTACAGTAAAAAATGTTGGGGACTCCTAAAATAATACTAGAATGATTACTATATTTAGGAGTTGAACTAAAGCGTTTCCAGCTCAAAAAAGCTCAATACACTCCATAAAACTCGTGTCATGGGCCCTCTAGCTGAGTTCATGTACTCGCTCGAGCCGAATCGAGAAATCGATACTCGACTTGACTCAAAATTTGAGAAATCGCTCAGCCCTGTAAATATTGCTTAGTCACTGGTTTCACTTCAAACTTTCGGCAACAAGGAGATGAACTACGTCAAGAGGCAAATTTCAGCCATCCCCCTTCCCCCTCCAAGAATCCATTTTGAAAACCCTATTTTAAAGTTGAAAGTATGCAAGAGTTGGGTTTTTCTTGTTTCCATCCTTACTAAGCATGACTGTTGTTGCAGAAGATAGCTAGCTGTTGGAAAGTCAGGGTAAACCTTGAAAAGCCAGTTAATTTTACTTGAACCTTGAATAGGTGCATTCTATTGGAACTTAAGAATAGCTTTCATTACACCCAAGCACTCTACTGAGCTGAAAATGTTTCCTGTTTCTGCTTGTTCCTGACAAACATCATTCATTTTCTGCAGAAACCTTGAGATTTCTAAAAATTTCAAACTTCAATTCAGCGCAATGTAAGGATATTAGTGCAGAAAGCTTGTAAATCATAGGCCTTGATCCATTTATCAAAAGAATAGCAATGATCGCAATCTATAGCTTCTTTGCTCATGTGCCAGTCAACTTTCTCCTTTGCTGTCATGCGTAACCTGCTCATGTACATCTTCTCTTCTTTTTCAGGTGTCTTGTTTTTTGAAGAAACTCAAGTTGAAATCATTTCAATTTTATGAGATCATATTCGACTGTCGACTTTACGAGGCTGAACATTTTAATGATTTTAATGCTCAAACTTTCAATTGACGTTTAATTTTTTTCTTACTTACTGTCAAAAAGAACTTCATTTCCATAAATAGTTTCAGTAAAACTTAATCAAACTTCACTGTCGCATTCTGAAACTTTGGCAAGTAATGAAAGTATCGAAAAAGGTGTTAAGTATTGCTTTTCTCCTGGAAAAAAAAAAAAACTGCAAGTAATTCCAAAACATTCAAAAACTCTTCTTCAGCATTGTGGTTTTGCAATTTCTGAGTTTGACAAGAAATCCTTGATCAAGTTTTCCTTTGTGTGAGTTATAATTCAACTTTTGTCAAATTGAAAGGTTGTATTAGGAAGCATTGGACAATTTACTTAAGTTACTGCGAATAGGTGAAATTTTTGAAAACTTTATTTTATGCTGTAAATTTAGTCAATAGTGCTCATTTATCTTATTATTTTATCTTTACTATTAACATAATTTTTATCCTTACATGTGTAATCCTTTTTTATGTTTATTTTTGATTGTTTTATGTGTTAGTTTTGTTATATACTTAAATTTTTCTATGCCGTTCATTAAATGTTGGCAGCGCATCCCTGTCTTTTCGGTCAGTTCTGGATTCAGTTTTCCTGTGATAAGTAGGTTAATATAAATTTTAGTTAGGATTTGTTTTAGAAGTTTTTATGTTGACCCTCTCACTATTTCCGAGATGTAGTTTTGATTTTTAATTCGAGTAGATCATTGAGATAGGATATCGTTTGAATCAGGAAATTTTGAAGAAACAAAGCGCTTGAGTACCCCTCACTATATCTTCTTCAAGTTACCAAATAATTCTCCTTTACCTCGAAGGATCAAATTTTTCTGCGTTTCCAAGTTTTAAAGTTATTTTTTTCTCTCTTGATTTGTGTTGTATTCTGAATTAGTTTCTTGGTTGAAGAATTCAGTGTTGAGCCAACGTCTATTTTCCTTTGCAAAAGGTTGCCGAAGCTTTCATTTTTGTCCCTTTAATTTTTGATCGGAGACCTTTTCCGTGAAATGAGTAGTGAGCGTAAAAAATTATTGGCTCCAAGCCCATGCATTTTTTTTATTTTAGTCTCCTTGGTATTATACAACTGTACTATTTAGTAGAAATTTAAATAAATTAGAGGAGATTTCATGTCTTTCTATGAGGAAGTAATCAAGTTTCATGGCAGAAATACTTTTTCTGCTTACGTTTTGTCTTCTTAAGACAAATTCTGTAAATTGCATGTTGAACATTTGCTCTGACATTCACTCATTTGAAACTTCGTAATTGAATCAGGACTCATTGTTGTCTAGTTGTGTATGCACTTTTACCAGTTTCATAGAAAAAATTCCCTGCCGCTCCTCTCTCAAGAGTGAAATCGGTTATTTCTTTCTGTACCTCTTGTGATTTTGCAATGATTGTCAGGATTTTTTTTTTTTTTCTCAATTTATTTTTACCTTTCTCTCTTTGGTGCTTAGCAGCGTTTAGTTTCATTCCTAATCAAGTTTGTATAGTTCTGGTAAAAATTGCTTCAGCTTTGCAGTTTGTTTTATACATTTTACCAAAATGAACACTGATCAGCAATATTTCAAGAACATCATGTCCTGGGCTCTTCATACCTTCATTCCTATCAGTATTTTTTAATTTTCTGTTTTTTGATAGGAAGGATAGTCAACTGGTCAATTACTGACTTTATTGTAGAACGGACCTTCAAGCGATGAGTGAAAAATGACAACTCGCTTCATTTTGCCTGTTTTAGGAAATAGGTGAGAATCCTTTGATGAAAGTGTAGCAATGAATTTAGTCATCTCAATAAACAAAGAGGTCCCTGTTTTTTGTTTCTTGATGAGAGCTAGATAGTAAGCCTATTGGATCGCTCTACCATTCAATGGAAAGGAAATGAAATTTTTGAGTCAGTGCACAGTATGAATCTTTTGATCATTAAAAAGCAATACTTCCATTTGACTTATACTCTCTGCTCTAAGTGGACTCCTTTTTTTTGTTTTCTTTGATGCTTCTTTGTTCTCTGCTGTTGTTGGTTAGTTTGTAACTGTAAAGTGGGTTGTCTTCTCTCCCGCATGGAAGATTGTTTTCATCGGTCGAAAATTTCAGGGATGCAAAGCCAACCAAGAAATAGCATTAGGAGCAGCAAGACGGCTCTTTATGAAACAATGAGCATTGGCTAGCAAACTCTCAATGTGTCGTTGGGTAGTTAGCTTAGAATGTCTCCAATGCCAGAAAATAAGACTGTGTTTTTACTGGTTCATTTTCATTATGGACTCCCCCTTTTTTAATTTTTTCAAAAATTTCTACCGCTTTGTTCCTCTGTCAATTGTGAAATAAATGTATTATTAGTATCAAACTAATGTTTTCCCCTGTCACTCATGTTGAAAAATTAATCATTTAGGTATCTGATATTACAAATTCGCAGCCGTCAGTAGTTGTTCCTAATTATCGCATGTAGACTCTCCCTTTCCATTCACGTTTTTTTGCCATCAACCAGCTCCCTACTGTATAGAAACCCAAACCATGGATATCTTAACTCTCAAAGTCTAGCTGACTCCCTCCAGTGATAGCAAATCCAATCCCGCTAAAGTGTTACAAGAACAGAGTTGTGTTTATTTTTTATTCACGCCTTCATGTCCTGTGATTTTTCTTGTCTTTGAGCAGCGAGTCAAATCTGCACTCAAAAGCAAAGAAGAAAAACTAGTTGTCAATAACTGATAGTTGATGTCTACAAACTCCCCATAGACCAGACTTAAAAAAATTAGAAAAAAATCCCCCCGTGCACTTCTCATATTAGTTTCTTTTTTAGTTTCTGAACTTTATTAAGGAGAAAAGTAAGTTTCCTCGCTCAACTTTTTCTTGAAACTTTGCTAAAACTGCCGGTAGCAATTGCTTCATCAAGTTTACTCTCAATGAAGTTTTTTAACGTTTAACTACTCCGAGGCATCTAGCATCCCACAGAATTTTGAAACTCGAGCTATGCAAGCGCGAATATCTTCCCCTGCAACAGAAGTCCTGCGCTCAAATTTTGTCAGTTGCAGGTGTATGACACGCAAGTAAACTTAACCTCGTAATCAGTGATATCAGCCAATCAGAGAGCTTGTGGACGGCTTAAGCAATCCTCATCTCGCATGAAGCAGATCACAAAATTTGAGTACAGTATTATTTGGTGAACTTTGTTCTGAAGCATCAAAACGAGCTTTTGTCGTCAATAGTTCATGGAAATACCTAATCAATCAAAAACACAAAGCAAATCGAACATTTGGTTTTTTCTAATTCTAATAAACACAGATTTTCATCAGTAAATCGTAGCCAGCAATACCTAGGAGGCTGCTTCAAGCCCCTGCCTACTCAACCTGTACCATCCCTGTTTTGGCTTTTACCATTTAGATGAAACTCAGTCATTCATTTTGGCTTTCAGAAAAGCTTGGTTTCATCGCATATTATTTGCTGAAGTATATTCCCAACAAATGTCCTGAAATACATCATTACTACAGCAAGCGCTTATTTTATCTTATTTTTTATTGGTGAAAGAGGTCCCTTTTTTTCTTACTTGCCCCAGCCATCTTGAAATTGCAAAGTTTTTTTTTGTTTTAGGAAACGTGAAGGCACTAACGCTCAAGGAGCAACCATTGTCAGTTTTCTGTCTTCGTTAGCACTTTTTCTCTACTCTCTTCTTCTTAATCCTTTTGTTAATCTTATTTGAATGTATTTCTTTTTTCTTCTCTTTTTTCTGTTTTGTATTAATGCTGTTAAATTTTTGTTATTTGTGTGACTGAGCTGTTTTTAAATATTGTACTGTACAAACATTGCTAGTATTTTTAATTTAAAAGTTTTAAAAATGTAAAAAAAACAAAAAAAAATTATGAACTTCGCAAATTTGGTGGACTGGATCGTAACATAATTTGAATTGTGAGAAATTTCCTGTACTCCATGAAATCTGTTCTGAGCTTTTTAAAGACTAGCCGTCAAGACTAACAGCAAGCCTTTTTTTTAGAAGATACGATTCTTTAAAGGACAGAATTTTTCAAGTATGAGGGGCCAGCCATCGTAAGATTTTGTCTTGTCCTGGCCACTACATGCACTGGAAAAGAGCAGGAGGAAAGTCTGAGACCTCTTTTCCGAGTGATTCCCTTTTTTTATATTAAATATATTTGAGTTTTTAGTTTTTGACTTGTATGTGGCTCCACTTGCATTTTTATTTTTATACTTACCGCCATGTGAGTTGAAAGATGTTGTCTTTAAATATGATATATATTTGGATGGACTGATTTTTATTCCAACTTAGGGCTAATTGCATTGAGGTGCCATTTTGCGACTTCATACATACCTATATATTTCTCTCAGTTCCTCCAGTCTAAGTGAGCGCTGTAAGTAATTTCTGTCTACCAAAAAATTCAAAAATAAATAGAGTGTCTTGGTCGATTTCATTCACTATAATATTGATTTTGTCAAATGCCTCGACGGAATTTTCTGATCATTTTCAAAAATTATGCAGAATTATTTTGAATTAGTCCATCAAATCCAACAGGATTGGTATTCTTTTTCTAAATTCTTAATCTATTCACATTTTTTCACGTCAAAACTGTCAAAGAGGCTTTGAAGATAAATTAGGCAAGTAAGTGAGGAAAATGTATTGGGATTCAGCACTCGTAAAGTTGCAGTTTCATGCTTGAAGCCCTGAATAGTCTAGTGTTGCTACTTTTTTATTTTGATTCGACCAAGTCGAATACTAAATTTTTTAACTCAAGATGTATCTTAAAGCAAATAAGGTAGAGTTCAAAATTCGAACTGGCTGCATTTCCTCCTCAGTCTCGGAGGCTTTTCTTGATGAAGCCGAACTCGCTCTATATTTCTGGGAAAATTCCCAAAATTATTTTTACATAAAATCATAGCTGTAACCACTTCTCAAATGTATCATGAAATTTGACTGCATTGTAAATATTTGATTTGTACAGATGAATATTTTAGACTACAAGTATTTACAACTGTTTTAACCATTTCGAGCTCATTGAGCTCAATTTTGGACATGTGTTAATATTTTGAACATATTGTTGTGTACATTCACCTGTTTAAAATAGAAAAAGAAAAGGAAAAAAAAACTCAGAAGAAACATATTATCATTAATCTTGAATTTTTCGACAGTGCTTATTTTGTATGAACTATTTTTTGACTGGAATATTTATTTTATTTTGTTTCAAATAACAATTTCTTTATATTCCTAAGTGAACTTGTATATATGTACCATATCAAGTATGTGTTAAATTTAATTTTCTCGTTTTCTCCGTGACGGAAGTATACACGGTATAGTGTGCTGAAGTTGGTTCTAAATTCTGTTCTGTTTTGTTTTGTTGAAATGATAACGTCTGAAATGCACTTCGAAGGAAGGTTTTCTGTTGTTTTACTCGAAAGAAGTTTTACAGGGCAAATTCTAAACAAAGCTTTTTCAGCGCCCTCGATACATATTGAACCATTGTTAGCAGTTACGTGACAGGACCCTGCAGGAAAAGGAAAAAAGGAAATCGTTAAACAAAAAATATGATAGCAAATGAGTCAAAATATGATCGAACAGCATAATTACTGTCTTTTTTTCTTTCTTTTCATTTTGTTATTTATTCTATCCTCGATATTTGTACATATTTGCGTATCCGTATTTTGTGCATCAGCTGTTGAGCTGCACGTAAAGTCTGGCGGTTCAATGGGATTAAGATTTCTCACGCATCCTAAATTTTGTCCTTGTCCTCATCTTATTGAATGCCTATGTTCATAGTGAAAACAAAAGTCGACATTTAACATACAGTCTGTCACAACCATCCTATTTATGAATATATTTACTGTGGTAAAGTTAGGAATGATAAAAAATGATTTTAAAAAAAAAAACATAAAAATATCAAAAATACAAAAAATCTGTATATAATAATCATCTTGTTATTTTTTACACAGTCCTTTAACTTTTCCTCAGCTCCAGCTTCTAGAAAATATTCTTGAAGCTTTGTTCTGTCAAAGCTTTTATTGTCTCTCGTCCTTTTTATGATCTGATCCCAATTCAGTTTTCAAACCTCATTATGAGACTTGCTCGCACAATCTCTTCTTGGCTGTGCCATGTAAAATAATTTGTCTTTCTATCATTTTTATTCTTCGCCATTCTGAGCCATAATTTCTTAGGCTGTCCCAAAATATCTTGAGAGTTTACTCGCTCTTAGAAAATTATTGAAGATATTGGAACATGGTTTGAAGGAACCTGCGGCTTCTAACGAGCTCTTGTTGAGTTCATATGATGAAAAATTTGCATTTTTACAGCAATTTTTTAGTTACGCACTAAAAGAAACCCTCTGAAACCCTAGCATCATTTTTCATTCGCCATTTTTCTCCCAATGAGGACACAAGAACATCAGGAATTTAGTAGTCACTATCAGCTGGATAGCATACTCTTTCCCAGCAGGGAACATAGAAGACAAAAATCTGTTTTCTTTTTCATTCATGAAAGTCCCAAGTTAGTAGCACAGTGCAATAATATATTGAGATAACACTTCAATTTAATGCAGCAATATTGCTATTATTTTTCTCATGAAATTGCACTATTTGACATCATTTGGCCAATAAATTTTGATTTTAAAGGATCAGTAAGATGAGCTCCATTCAATTTTTTCGGCCTTTTGAAATGACATCAGGGTGTCTACAAGTCGGGAAATAGTACGGATTTTTAAGGGCGGTCCGAAAGTACTGAAAAAGTGTGGAAATTCAGCAAGAAGGTCCGGAATTTTTTTTTTACATTTTTGTCGCATTTGAGCAAGAAATTCAAATTTGAAAATTTTTTGGAATTTCGTCAATTGGAGGTATTAAAAAAGTATTGAATTTTTCTGTTGAGGAGGTACTGAATTTTTCGGGAATGTACTGAGAAAGTACTGTTGAAGTACTGATTCATAGCCTGCCTGTCTTATTAGACATCCTGGACATTAGACATTGCAACTTACATACTTCAATTCAATAAGAGGTGTCTATATAGTCAGTAGATAGCAAATAAGCACATCACTCTGACTACTCTGACAATGTAGCAACGCAACTGTTAGTTTACCATGCATTTGCAATCGATCACAATTTGTGCTACTTTGATGTCCAGGAAGCTAAAAGCCCTAATATTTTTCTTCACTTCAATAAGCATTGCCAAAGTGACACTTGCAGTATCTCTGGCCTATTGACAAGTGCAGGCTTTGCGTATTATATTTGAACCTTTCTTTATCAGCGATGATCAATAATTTAAAAAGATGAGTTTGAATCATTTATTATGCCCACTGCAACACACTAAAACATGAGTGGAGCTCAAATGAATCGGCTCGTGCGAAAACCGCTAATGTCCATTTTCTCTTATTTTGAGTAAACTGCAAAAAACTGTAGAAGCCTTTAAAATGCCGAATTAAAAAATGTTCAGAAGTTGATTATTACAAGAGTGGATTGTAGAAAAGGATCCCTAATAGTTTCCAGCTCCTCTTCAGTCTGGGATGGAGTAATTTAAAAAAAAGGACTCTGGACATTAGCGGTTTTCGCATGATTCGTAAAAATCGCCGAGTTTTGGAGTCGTTTGATACTTTCAAAATTCATTCTGAAGATATTAAAACGGTAGATTATCATTCAAATAAAGTTGAAAAACTAAAATTCTTGACAATTGCGGCACTTAAAGCAAGTTTCATCACGGGACTACCAGCAATAAACTGGACATTAGCGGTTTTCGCATGATTCGTGCATGGTCGGTTCTAAATAATAGAAAACGCATATATTTAAGTATGCCTACCGGGCTAAATAAGGTCATCCTAACGTATTTTGAGGCGCTGAATCCGAATATGACCTCCGTTTTATTCCATCACCCTCCGATTTTCCGGAAAAACCGATTTTACTCGGAAAAGTGGCCATTTTTGGGCATTTTCGGTGTATTTCCTACTGTTACCCCCTGCAGAATGTAGGTAAAACTTTTCGTAGCTACGAGATTCACGTTTGCCGATGTCTTTTTGACTGACAAATCCGGAAATGACCTTAATTTTTCCCGTTCACCTCTCAGTTTTCCGGGAAAGTAACTTTTTCCCGGGAAAATGAGCAAATTCGACGTATATATGTCGTGCATGAAATTTATTTTTATAAATTTTCCTGGACCCGTGATAGTATGATGCCTCTGTATTTTGAGCTGCTGAATCCGAATATGACCTCGGTTTCTTTCTATCACACTTCAGATTTCCGGTAAAGCCGATTTTTCCGAGCCTAAAATTGTGTATCGTAAAAGCTCCGCCGGACTCAAAGTGTGTTCGAAATTCATTTTAAAAATGTCTCCGATGTGTGATACATCGATTCCTTTGTGTATTGAACTGTTGAATTCAAGAATGATCTCAGATTTTTCCGATCACCTCCGGTGGGTGATATCGAATTTCTACGGTCATATTTGGGGTTTTCAGCTCACGTTACATGTAAAACGATGTATCACACATGCGGAAAATGTTTTGAATTTCCCTGGAAGAGGGAACAGTCCGGAAAAGCTTTTGGCCGGGAAAAACCGGGCCAAGAGTCCGGATAAATCGGACCTTCTCGAAAACGGGGGCTTGCCAAAGATGAGTGAAGGTCAAATTTGAGTTCAGTGCTTCTTAATACAGCAAGAGAGACCAAAAAAGGATCTCGGAAAATTTCTGAAACTCCTCAGAGCAGGAAAATCATCCCGCAAAAATACCCGAAAAGAGCGTTTTCTTAGGAAAAGCGACTTTTCCGGAAAAATGACTTTTCCGGAAAAATGATGGGTGATCGGGAAAATCTGAGATCATTTTTGAATTCAACAGTTCAATACACAAAGGAATCGATGTATCACACATCGGAGACATTTTTAAAATGAATTTCGAACACACTTTGAGTCCGGCGAAGCTTTTACGATACACAATTTTAGGCTCGGAAAAATCGGCTTTACCGGAAATCTGAAGTGTGATAGAAAGAAACCGAGGTCATATTCGGATTCAGCAGCTCAAAATACAGAGGCATCATACTATCACGGGTCCAGGAAAATTTATAAAAATAAATTTCATGCACGACATATATACGTCGAATTTGCTCATTTTCCCGGGAAAAAGTTACTTTCCCGGAAAACTGAGAGGTGAACGGGAAAAATTAAGGTCATTTCCGGATTTGTCAGTCAAAAAGACATCGGCAAACGTGAATCTCGTAGCTACGAAAAGTTTTACCTACATTCTGCAGGGGGTAACAGTAGGAAATACACCGAAAATGCCCAAAAATGGCCACTTTTCCGAGTAAAATCGGTTTTTCCGGAAAATCGGAGGGTGATGGAAAAAAACGGAGGTCATATTCGGATTCAGCGCCTCAAAATACATTAATATCACCTTATGTCGTCCAGGAGACACTTTTTTCTTTTGGTGTGTTGTACTGTTTTATGAGGCATATATCGGAGGATGGACATTAGCGGTTTTCGCATGATTCAGACCACGGGCCCCCCCTGAATAGGGGTTCAAACTCAAGGAACAAACATTTTCACCACATTAATGAGTGTGTCTGACCTCCGAGAGTATTTTAACCCAAAAATCTCAAAATTGAAAAAAATGGACATTAGCGGTTTTCGCACGAGCCGATTCAAATATGATTACAATCAATCGAACTTTCCTACGTACGAGCACAGCTCGTAAAATAGTTTATTAAGTGAATGTAAAACTGGTCATTCTTATGAATTTTAAAGCACTTAGTATGTCAATGCGCAAAGTGCAGAACCACGCATCTACGATCGCGACGTCGTAGACTTCCTGCCGTACTTCATTTTTGCTTTGGAATACCAGTCTACATAATTTCCTAAAAACTTCATGGATTTTCCTCTGAGTTAGCAACAAATTCTGAATGAACTTCAATCCTTAAAGTTGGCTTGTCTCTCCGAAAAAATAAAATAGGAGGGCAAATTTTGAAATACCACAATGATTCACACATACATACACACCCTCACTTTGTCCATCGATGTGAAAAACCTCATTTATCCGAGTTCAAGAATTGAGGACCCCGCACTAATAACAGCCTATAACTGGAAACTGCGTTGTGAGAAAAACCCAGTTGAAGCTTTGTATATGATTTACTATGCTGCCTGTGCTTTACAGGTAAGCTGTTACCGTATTTTTGGGTGACCCAACTGACCTAACCTTTCTACTGAAGGATGCCAGGTTGATATTGCGGTACATTTTTGGTTTTCACAGAAATTAAAAAAATCAGTTTATAGGCTGTTATTGCGTCCAACAATCATTTGCGTTATGCAAAATGAAGGAGCAGTCACTATCAGCGATACTCGCAAACCGAAAACAACGTTATCTAGTTGACGGACGCATAAAAGACCTTTATACGTACAGGCTGTTATTCCACCCATTGCTCTAGAGGCCTGGCTTAAATCGGGGAAAAAGGTTTTTGACCTCCAGCCGTTGTCTAGCTCCTCTGACGTATCTCTCTCAATTTCCACATGAGTCCTGTTTAACATATTAATCCATTCTGTCTGGGGCCCCCGGGGAAAGTAAGGTACTTACGCCCTCACAGCGAAGGAGCAACGATGTCTTTGGAGACTTGAACGCTGAGTAAGAAAAATAGACAAATGCGTGAAAACATCGTTGGCAGTCTTCACAAGTCACAAATCGACGGTGTAAGTCGGCAATCATACGGGGTCTGTTAGAATAGAAACCGGATTTTGGTCATAAGTAGCCCAAAATGCGTCCGAATCAGGTTTTCTTGAGCTTCCCTGATAGCTGGAAATATACTTAAGAACGCTACGTTCACAGATTTTGTTTATTTTGATCAATGTTTATTCTGTGTCATCTTGAATACGAGTAAGTCAGGTGCGTTTTGCGATTTTCAGCATGCGATCACTGATAGAGCAAAGACTCAACATTTAATTTTGTTTTAAACTCGGTATACCTTGTGCCGAAACTTTTGGTATATGCCAAGTGAAGTTTACCATGATCATTGTATGAGATGTTCCCACTGTTTTGAATGGGTTAAACGATTCAAAACTGGTCAGGAGTTCGTCAAAGATGAGGAGCATGGGAATCGACCCTCAACGGCAACTGACATTTGTCAAGTGGAAGAAGTGCGGGCAAAAGTGCTCGAAAATGGTCGTTTCGAGCTTGTTGAACAGAGTAATATTTCTGAAGGCTCTGTACATACAATTTTGATAGAATATGTAGACACGCATCGAGTTTCAGGTACACTTGCCCCTTGATTGTTGTCCGTTGAACGAAAATCCAACCAAATGTCAATTTCCCTTTAGCTGCTTGAAAGTTCTAACAATGATCCTACATTTTTGGATAGGATAATTTTCGGTGACAATACTTTAGTGTACGGCTACGATATGGAGACGAAACTCCAATCGTCCTTGTGGATTGAAAAATGTAGTGCAAGACCGAAAAAAGAGAGACAAGTTCGGTCAAACATAAAAATCGCAAAACACCCTTGAGGTTGCCTTACTTCAAGCCACATACCAACGAAGCTAATTAGGATTTTTCAAATTTGTGAACGTAGCGTTCTTAAATATATTTTCAGCTATCAGAAAAGCTCAAGAAAACGTAATTTGGACGCATTGTGGGCTAGTGATGACCAAAATCCGGTTTCTAATCTAACAGACCTCGTATAACTCGTTTGCGGTGTCTGAAAATCTCCGCCTCTATGTTATTTTTTTAAAGGAGAACAAATTGACATCATTCTTTGAAGTTTTTGCAGAATTTTGTTCGCATTAAGAAGAAAAATCACGGCAATTTTAAAGAATTGCCGTTGAGTGTTTTTCCTTTTAAAAAATGAAGTATGACAGGAAGTCTGCGACGTCGCAAACTGAGTTATGTGATTTCCGACTCACACCGTCGAAATGGTATGTAGCACTTGACATCGGACGAATCCTTTATTCAATCTTTCTCTCCATCCACCCCCCCAATACTTCCCCTCCATCCCCTCCGTATGCCGTCCCGGGTGTAGCATAGTGCAACGAGAATATTAAACTAGTTTTACAAATCAATTCGATGAAACTACGATCCACTCCATTTTTTATGAACAAATAAACTGTTCAACGCCTTCATATACATTTCCCAAGGATTAACTCTACATCATGAGGAACACACTAAAAAAATTTAAAGGTTCCGTGTTGCTTGGCTTTCTGTTAAAAATAAAACATGTGAAAATTAGGAAATTTTATTCAGAAAGTCACCGTCCGACCTATTACTTCTCTCGGCTGAGGGGCTGAGGCGCAACATGTAACAAGGTTTTTGTGCATGTCGCACGAGGAAATAGCGCTATTATTTTCGAATTGTGAACGCATTGTTTGAATATCGGAGTATTGGCGCGCTCTTTTTTTGACCAACGAGAGAACAGCGCGGGACTTATTTTTCCTAGAGTCCCTAATTTTTCCCTCCAAGTCTTGTTGCCTAGTTGTCCTTCAAAATGTTCGATTTTCTGCGGTGCTCCCCACTTAATTACATTAAGTTGCTGATTTTGACTCCCGATTTGTATGTTATCCCTGCTATGAATGCATTTTTTACGTATATCAATCATTAAATACATCGAATTACTCCGTAACAATAGCTGGAAATTAGGTTTTCGCTCTTAATAAGGCAACGGTGTCTCACATTTTTGTTATGGGTTACCCCTTCCCCTCTTTCTGTCATCTGTCGGGTCGGTCGGTTCTTGTGCTCGTTCGCTCACAGATTCCTCAGCTTTCGTGCTAAATTAGTTGTCTTATCTCTCAATTTTCATCTCACTGGACTTAGAATAGATCTTTATCATTCTCCTACTGATACTTCCATACTTGGCAGTCTCCTTTCGAGTCATGATTGTGATCTGATAAACGTGCAAAGTTCTCAATAGTTGTGCACCAGTCCTCATCTGGTCCTCCGCCTCCCCCACATCTTGCCCGGTTTCTTCTCTCCATACCACCACGTGCATTTTGTTTTGTTTAATCTTTCTGCTAAACTCAGCAGCTTTTTTACTCCACTCCACTAGTCGTTTTCATTCCTGAACGCAATGATCACAGCACGTCAGGACATTCCTATTCATGATTCATACAGGCTGCCTGGATTCCAGTCTTGATCTGTGAGGTTTGAATTTGGACCTGCTTAGTGAAGTGTCTGCTTCCTCAAAGTTCACTGTGTTCTGTTTACTCCAGGAATAGATATATACAACACTCTTCAAAATGCCTTACATGAGTTTGGATGACTTGCTGATGATGGGCACATTTTGCCAAATCGTAGAGGATCTGCAGAGAGTTCACCGAACGCTTGATGAGCATGGGCGAATTTTACGAAGATTAGAAAATTATGGTAAGATCACAATGGCTCTATATTACATTGCACTTTCATTTCTGGACCGTCAGATACTCAAGCAGTTCTCCTTCGTCTTACCGAAGATCAATTCTGAATTACACCTATGACCAAATCTGGGGACTGACTATGTAATTAGTATATCCTATGCTAGTTTTTCCCCCGGAGGCGCCAGTTAGTTATTTATCTTTACAGGACTTTAACTAGGTGACTTCAAAGAATGAGATGAATGAATGTTTACTTGACCTCTTGATCTGACTAAATAGGAACGATCCATGTAGTAGAAGAAAGCAGGTATGGATCTATTGTACCTATGTAGGTCTTTACCATACCTGCTATTTTAACATGGCAGTTGCTGCAAAGCATCATAGGAAATAAGTTCTTAAGCTGTAATGTAGCCAGCGAGTCACAGAGAGACTGGAGACTAACGAGTCATCAACAGGTGGAAACTTTAGTTTGGCAATCCAACATATCTCATCATGAATTAGTGGACCGCATTAAGCTAAAAGGAACCAAGCCACATTAGCTACTGCCATAATTAATTGAGCAATTTAATTTTTTACATGAAAATGGTTGTGCGGATTTTTGTGCAAAGCTCAGTGAATTTTCTACATAATGCGAAGCAAATTCCTTATTTTCAAAGGGATCTGCACAAACGTTCTCTTGTATAAATGAAATTGCCTAGTGAATTTTGGCAATAGCTGATGTGGCTTGGTTCCTCTCTGCTAAACGCGGTTCAAGTGTAATTCTGTAACAGTCGTTTACCGTTTTGTTGGATGTAGACTGCTTCTAAGGTAGTCATATGTTTACATCAGTTTACCTCGCGCAACAAAATTTTTGTCACGTTGCTCAGCAGTCAACTGAGAAGTAGTTGAATATCGAACTCCTGAAAGTTAATGCCTCTACTACAGCCATATATCAATGGAGAGTCTCTCTTTGTCTCCGGATGGAGCAGTCAGATTCTCTCTCACTAACTTATTGACAGAGCTTACCCACATAAAGCATGAGTCTGTCCCCACCAACACATTCTCCAAGCCCAAGCTTTCCATATAGGCCTATTGACATGCAAGTTGAACAAGCCAAGCAGAAGGAAATTGATTTGATTCTCACAAGGGTCTATAGGTAGGTAGAGAATTCTCCAGAGCCAAAAGCCAAAATTTCAGCCTCCGAATTTCCTCTCAATTCAAAAAGGTCTAAAGAATGCGATGAGCCAAGTATTTTCTTTGATCATGGTTTTTCTGTTTATTCCTTCTTTCCACCAACACAGAGGAAAAAAGAATATTTTCATTTGTAAATTTCCTCACACCATGTGTCGGGAAGTCTTGCTTAAGGAACCCAAGTCAAATTCATTGTTTCGGTGTATCCTGTCACTTACTTTTTTCTTTGTTCTATCCAGCTGCCGGCCTTGGAATAAAACCCAAACCAGAATATGAAACTTGCTACCAAGAATCCTTGTCACATTTCCAGAAACGCAAAAAGAAAGGACTACCTGCCTCTGTAATTGTAAGTTAAGATTTTAGTTTCTAAATATAATTTTCATATTCCTCCATCAATCTATTGATTTTGCAGGAACTCAAGTGGCTGCTTGTTCTTTGCACTACCTTGCACTCTTCTATTTCATGCTGTCGGCCAGCTTCACTAAAAATAACATGGTTTAAAAATTTCACAAACCCCATTTCACATTTCCTTTACCACCTGCTCAAATCTCCGCATAGTAGAATTGGACTCAGGTTTGATACACTAAGTCCTTAAGGGGTCCTCACAAACTAATGTCAGGCTTTTTATAATTTTTTAATACTCTCTCCTCTCCCAATCACTGATGTCATTTTCAATTGGAATTATCTTACTAATGGGCTCTTTGCGCTAACTTTAACATTTCATCTGTTAGATTATGTTATCATCAGATCCTTATGTGTGATACGAGTTTTCTATGCTCTGTACCATGACTTGTATACTTTGTTCCAAGTTTTGTTCCCTTGTGTTTGTGGCTTCGGCTATAAGCCAGAGTGGCCCAGCAATGTTGGGATTTGTTTGCTCTTACCCCCCAAAATTGATCCATCTGGTTAAAAAATACCTTCTGCCAAGTTTCAGCCAAATCAAATTATAGTACCCCATGCTAGTAGATACATCGACATCTTTTTTTTTGTGTGCATTTTTACATTTGAGAACATTTTTTAGAAAAACCAAAGGTCTTTTTTATGTTTATTCTTTCTTTGGAAAACACTCTCTTCAGAAAAATCAACTGCTCCATAAATTGGGTTTGTGTTGGGAAAAAACTGAGGTCATATGCGGCTCCAGCAGATAATTCCCATCAGATATCTCATCAAATTCTTTTTATCAGTCTCTCTAACAGTGAAACATCCGGATATGCTTAACAGGGCATAAATGACGATTTTGAGTTTCATATTATCACATGCGCCTGAGTCCAACAAAGGAGATCAGCATATGATAGGTGTTTCTAATGTCCTTTTTTGCATTGATTTGGTTTTTAGATGGAAGCACAATGAAACATTGCACACAAGTGAAAGAATTCACTAAAATTATCTTTTCTGCTCTTATTTTGCAAGTTTTAAATAGTGTTAAAAACTCAACTTTTAAAGTTTCCCTCGTATTAAACAAATAAAAACGAAATTTAGGAGTTGGATGAATTTTTAAATATCTTGTTTTTTTTCAGGAAGAAATCAAAAAGTCTCAAAAAAAGAATTCTGGGGAGGACACAAAACAAAATCAAGGAACTGGTAAGTCAGTCAGTTACCAATTTTCTAGTTAATGTACTCTAGTTCAAACATTCTTTTTGATTGTTCAAATATTCTACCTAAGTAGCATTTTCCAATGAAAAAATCTCGATACTTTGAAGTTAAGTAGCGATTTGTTTATGGTTTTTTGGCAACATAGTTGCTAGGATCATAAACACTGGAGGAATTATCCTCGATCTTGTCGCAAGTTTATCTCCATAAAAGCACATTTGATAAAGCTGAAATTTTATTTCAATTTCTCAATTTTTTTTTTAACAACAGTGTGATAAATTGCTGTCAATAAAATTGCAATTTTTTGCATGTGACAAAATCGCAATTCATCGCAATTTTTATCGGATAATATTGCAATAAATCAATGTCGATAAAATCATGATACCATCTTCAATTAAATAGCAACATATCGCGATCACTGCTATTTAGGTAGCGGGTCATTTAATCTCAGAGCTTAATAAGAAATTTTTTTTTCCTTCTTTTTTCAGAAGAGAGTGAGGTTAAAGAAACGGCCTCAAAAAAGAGACGTAATCGCAAGAAGAAGCAGTTGAGTAAGAAAGAAGGTCTTTCTGAAAATCAGGGTAAAACTCAAGACGAGTTGCATTGTCAAATGTCAGATGAAACCTCCTCAGGAGAGAACTCCAAACAGGAAAATTCACCTTGAGAGGGCTTCCCTCACCAAGACGTTGAGGTAAGCTTTCGTTTTATTTATTTGAATTTCAACTTTCGTGAAATGCTTATAGTTTTTTATCAAGGTATTATTTTTTTGCCAAGACACAATACAAGCACTGCTACATTTAATCGAAGTTTTAGTATGGAATTAAATCAAACTCTTCAATCAGAGGCTGAGTCGAAGAAAAAAAGCAGCATTGCAGAGTTTTAACAGTTTCTTCATTCTGAAGTCAAGGTAAGTAATGGTAAGTAATTACTCCAAGATTGCTTTTTTGAAGGAAAGTAACCCAGCCCAATTTGCAGACTTCAAGTGCAGATGCCAGAAAACTAAATAGCCTTTGTAAAGATTAAGTCATAAGTGTTGAGTTCACTATTCAATTTTTTGTTTGAAAAAATAAATACCTACATGAAGAGATAAATCCAGATCCTTCCTCACTTTAAATGAGCATTGTTCGCTTAATCTAGTCTAGACTCGAGGATGGACCAAAAAGATCCGAAATGATCATCGTCATCTTATAAATACAAAAAATCAGGACCAAAGAATAAAAAGTAAGCAAAACCAGTTAACGTATTCACCTGATAAAGAAATGAACCCAGCCAACTTGATACCTATTTCAGTTTAATTTATCATGCATCGTTTTTGCTATGAATTTAATTGATTATTTGCAAAACCTTGCATCTGAAGGTAATTTCTCGTAGATCCATCTTCGCCTTTCTATTTTTTTTGTCTAGAAAATCAGTTGTGCTTCCTCAACCTTGCATTGATCTATCAGACATTTTATAATTGATGCATAATTTCAAAGAACATATGTATTTATTTCTGGTGCGAAAGGAGTGTCAACTTCCTGAAGGGCTTTAGGAGGATACGGGACTCAGGTGGCTAAATGTTGCAGAGGGCTGTGAAAGCGGCTTTTATTTATGTAAGTATTTATTTCTTTTTAACTCATGTTTCTGATACTTGTATTTGATCACAACAAAACTTTTTTACTGGTTTCAGGAAGTTCGATTTCATTTCCCGCCAAGTTCAGTGAAACTAGACTTTTGGAGGAATTCCATCTTGAAACAGTTTAACAAAGTAATTTTTGCTCCAACTTTGCCAAGGTATGAATAGTTTTCTTATCGAATGTATATACACCCTCTTATGTCTTGACCTACTTTATTGGAGTAATTTTTAGCCGATTGAAGAAAAAACACAAGTTGAATTTTCTCCAATTCCTCAAATTTTATTTTTCCGAATAACTGTCTTGTAGTTTTGAACCTCACATGTTTTTTACGCTCTTTTCTTTATCTTTATTTAGTTATTCTAAATTGGTAATTTTTGTTTTGTTCTTTGCAACCCATTTTTTTAGTTTTTAGGTTTATTTATTTACTTTTAGTTTTGTTCTTGCCAACCTTTCTATTCAGATGTGAAAGTGTCCGCTAATGAGAATTATACTCCTACTTTAATCTGCTGACTTCCAGGTTTTTTTTGTGAAGTTCATGTCTTCTAACTTGCTTTCTCTTGTCTGAGGCCTACGTTAGCTTCTGCAGTCAAAATGTTCCCAATGTTAAAAACCGAAATTGTACAATCACCAGATTTTTCATAAAACGTAAATCCTTATCATGTTTTTTTAATATTCTGATAAGTTGCCTTCTCCCGGTTCATCCTGAATATTAGTTCTCCATTTTTGTGTTACTTAGATAGAAAGGCCTCCTAACTTTATTTAGTATATTTTAAGCTTATTTCGTTTTTATTTTATGTTTCCCACTTTCACTTTTTTCCTTGTAAAACTAAAATGTTAGTCTCTCTTTTTAAATAGAACTGGACAAGTACCTCAAAACTTGAGTAGGTATTTTCTTTTACATAGTAGTATTAATTTCTCAGTTCCATATTCTGCAAACTTAAAGCATTGTTACAGTTTTCGTACTCAAAATCGTTAAAATAAAATGTTCTCCCTTCTCTTGGGTTTTATAATAAGTTTTGCAGATTGTGTAATTTAAAGCAACTAGCTCACCTTCAGCCAGAAAACCCGATACACAAAAGTGCCCCAGCAACAGAAGGTTTATTGAAAAATGATTTGTGCTGAAATTGAACCTGTGATTATTTTTTTTCCAAACGAATTCTTGATAAGCAGCTTAATGTTTCTGTCATGTTAGTATGTTATTATGTAAATTTAATAGGAATAAAAGTTATATCCGTTGCATTTTTCAATACCAACCTTGTTATTTCTCTCTTCTTATCTTATCAAATTTAGTTTGTTGAAAATGATTCAAGGTACTTAAATTTATTTTATCGTCCTTTTGATTTGTTGATGATTTACTCTTATACATTAGATAGTTTAATAGGCGTTACACACTTTTTCTTCAGGTATTGGGAGAGTTCTTTCGTTAATTTAATATCAATGGATCAATGGTGAAACTGCTAAAATGCGTTTATTGATTGCAGCTTATGAAAACTTCTGCTTCTATTTTATTTTTCCAGAAGAGATTAACACCCTGGCTTAAAATTTTAACAGAATATCTACCAAAAAAATGAGAAAAATCATCAAAGTTTTCCAGAATTAATGTTGGGTAGATTTCTATTTAGAGAAGGAAACGTAACAGAAAGCTTACCTGCGTTTGAAAAACGTCAGTAGTTGCTGATTGAGTGCGGTCATTGACCTTTGAGAAGAAATCTGCGTTTATGCAAAGCTGTGGTTCCGTTATTACCAGGTGCCGTTCATTTAAACAAAATCAGCATCTACCTAAGACTTCGCCTAATTTCCTCTCCTGTATATTTTTCTCACAAAAAAGTAAATAACATTCTAACTTGAAATTTTCTCAGATAGTTTATTCTTGGTAGTTGAGGTTCTCTGAAATTTTTAAGGCGTCATGCCATTCAGATGTCTCTCAAACAAAAAGTGAGAGAAAATCAGGCAATGTGAAATGCGGTTAGGCTGATTCTGGTACAGTTGGCTTAAGAGCCAAAAATCGAATTTAAGTTTTTTGGCAAGTTGCAAGCAAATACTCCTCAGAATTTTAAAGTCTTCCTGGTCATTCATGGTTAAAACGAAGAAAATCTGTAAAGCTCTTAGAAATTGACAATGATTTAAAGATACTATATGGGACCTAAATACTCAATTAAATTATTGTCAGTAAGTCCTATTACTCCCAATACTGAAAAAAATTGCTCTCAATAGTCAAAATGCCTTAGCATTCGGGTTCTGCAAGTGTAACCATACGTTAGAAACTTACTTACTGATTGTTGCGATAATTTTTCCTCCTTGCAATTAGCAGATTAGCAACAGGTGACACAACCAAAAATCGGAATTTATTGCTACATTATAGCAACAATATAGGGAGGGTATGGATTCGATCGACATGAATCCATCGAAAAATGAAAACGTGGATCGATCGAAACCGATTTGATCGACAAATTGTTAAAAAAACCGGTGTCGATTCGATCGACATGAATCGATCGAAAAATGAAAACGTAAATCGATCGACACCGATTCGATCGACAAATTATTAAAAGACCGGTGTTGATTCGATCGACATGAATCGATCGAAAAATTAAAACGTGATTCGATCGACAGTTAATTTAAAAACACCTGTATCGATTTGATCGACATGAATGGATCGAAAAATGAAAACGTGAGTCGATCGACGTGAATCAATCGACAAACCCGTGAGTCGATCGATTCATGTCGATTGAATCCATACCCTCCGTTCGTAACAAGGAGGCTGATTCCGACGGACAAAACATAAGTTGGCTAAACTCGCAAGATGACATGCGTTTCAAATAAGGAAAATGGGATCCCCATCAAGACTGAGTAAGACAACCATTCCATATTCATTTTTTGAACAGAGGGTTGGTTGCATTCACGGAGTCTCCTTAGCTTCAACTTACTGCAGTACCCGCCCGGCAATGGGCCGTTGCAGCAACGTTGTAGTAACGTCGCAAAAAATCAAGTAACGTTCCTGGCCTACGTTGTCACAACGTTGGTAAAACGTTACTTTTGCCCGCGGAGCGCAACGTTTCGAAGTAACGTTGCCACAACGTTGCTGAAAAAGTAGTCCTAACGTACCTCACTAACGTTGTACCTACGCCGCGTAACAACGTCACGCTCTGCGCGGTGGGAGGGGGTGGAGCGGGGGTGGGGGGAGCGGGGGNTCGGTACAAACATGAACGCAATATTATTTGAGGGACTAGGAGGACAAGGCGCACAAGTGTAATTTTTGAAAAAAATTGAGATATTAATGATTTCAAGTAAAACTAATCAGTGTATATTCTATGAAACATTCCCTCCCAAATTCCGAATTTTTCAGCATCAAAAAAGCCAGTTTGAACTTTATCTTACCACCATAAGAATCGATGTAATTTTGAAACCTCGTACAGATATTCCTCGAAATATCAAGAACTGCACTTATGCGTCTATTGTTCTCCTAGTCCCTCATATGAATTTTCATAAATTGGACTACATTTTGCAATTATTCAGAACTAAAATTTCTTGCTCGGTTTATTATAATGACCACTAGTTTCCCTGTGCACATAAGTGGTTTTACAAATGAGCCAGAAATTAATTGTACTTCCTAATCGCAAAACGCAGTCCAACTATACAATTGATTGAAATAAAGAGGAGAAAGAGAAAAAAAATGCGTACTTATATTTATCTCCGATTGCAACGTTGTTGTGCTCAGCTCACAATTTATTTTTCTATGAGAAAACCAGACATTAGTTTTTATATGAGTTTTTGTGCATCCCCCCCCCCATCGAGAGGCTCACAGAAAAATCAGAGGCATTTTTACTTAGTATTTTCAAAATATAAAATATTTTAAAATGTGGTAGGTACTAGTATTATGAATTTTTCCGACTATGAACAGCCATTAATTGACTTGCATGTTTTGTAAATTAATAGCGCAATTGATATTAGTGCATCCTACATCCTCATTATTCTTGTGGCAAAATAGAGCAGACAACTTCTAAAGATGACTTCCAGCAGAAAACCTGCCGTCAAATTCTAATTCTAGATAAGCGGATCAAATTCAGAAGATTTCCTCCACCGGATGTTCATGCTTTTGCTATCGGGCGGCGTGCAGTGAAAAGTGAATGCGAACAGGGTTCTTGCTATCTGGGGAAAAGGTAACAGACATCAAGGTAGATTTACAGACATCCTGTCGTCTCTCTGTCTGAATTTGGGCGGCACTTTCGAAGGAAACGAAAAACGAAAACCGACGGAGACGACAGTACGGACAGGATTCAGTCTGCAGGTGCGACCCTCGCGCGAGCCAATCACAATCAGTGATCGGGAGAAGTCGACCCCGCTCCGCCCCACTCCACGCCGATCGTGCTATGCAGATTCATCAAGTTTCGGCCGTCGGCACTTTTCTGTCGGTGTTCGCTCAAGTCGGTCCTAACGTCTCGCGCCCGGTCGGAGTGAGGTCCTCGTGGCTGCAAGTGATTTTTCCCTTATGAAAGGTTTTAAGACTTTCGAACTCTTACATCGCATCTCGTTACTTTCCCCGTTTGTTTCGCGAGAACTCTTCGGTGTGCGTGTGTGGAAACGATCGTGCGAATAAGTTCTTCGCTTGAATTGAGACCTTCATCCTCTCGAAAGTTACCAACTTGTGCCCGGTGTTGGAGTGAATTGAAGGCAACTGGTGCCTAAAATTTCCATAGATTTTCGTATTTTAATTTCGTTTCGTCGTCTTCGGCATTTATTTACGCCGTGCGTGGCTCGGTGCCCCGTGTGTTTCGCGATAACTCCTCAGCAATGTACATGAAAACGTGTCAATCAATGTTTCATTGAATTGGATGATTGCCACCATTGTGAGTTTTTTCTCGAAATTTTTAGCGATTCGTGCCTGGCGTTTGAGTGAACTGAATTTTCAGCAGTCTGTATTTGATACATCCGGTACATTGAAATTTGCATCGATTTTCGTAGTTTCCGGTGTTTCGGTGTGCCCTCGTGGATTTCACCACTTCTTTTCTGAAGTTCTGAACATATTTGCGCCAGATTTTCCTCACTTTCCGGTGCGCCTAAATGAACCCCTCATGCAGTGCGGCGTGGAGTCAAAGACATTTTGCGCGGCGTGCTTTGCGATATATCGATTGATCTGTCATTTACTTAAACCTATTTAAAAGGATCGATTGACAGGGTGTTCGCTTAATAATCGATTCTTTACCACAGATTCGGGGGAAATATCGATAATCGATCATTTACGCCACACCACTGAAACCCCTCCATTTCCTATGAACATATTCGCGCGGGATTTTCTCCTTTTTTTCGGTGTGACTATGTGAACCTCTCCATTTTCTCTTGAACACATTCGCGCGGGATTTTCTGTTTAGCTGTGCTGTTGAGCAGGGGCGGTGATTCGGGAGTGATGTTTGTCCCTCGTGTTCGCGTATTTCTATGTGTGTGTTCGCGGTATTTCCTGGACTTCTAGTATCGGCCTCGCGTTTGAAGTGTATCGGCGTCTCCTCAATCTACTCACCACGATTAATTTAAGTAATTGTTCCATACCATTTGAAGGAGTCTGGTACCTGGTCATCGCTTCCTTTGATGTGTGTATGTCTTGGCGTTGGTCTGGATTCAGGTCAGAACTATTTAGCACATTACTTACCTAGATTCTGCTCAGATTTGGTGTCATGATTTCAAAATTGTGTGTTGCTCATAGTTTACTCACCTCTTTCTCGTCTTCCTTCACCTATCCATTTCCGCCCTGTCTTCTTTACGTCTATTTTGCTCCATTTTTAAAGTTTAAATTATTTTTCTGTTAATGCTAAAAGCAAGTTCATAGGTAACTCTTGATGTTATGTTCCTTAGCTAGGTGCTTCTAATCCGGAAGCAACTGTTGGAATTCCATTTTTCTAGGCCTGCAGGTAATTATCTTGTACGTGCAGGCATCGTAATTACCTACTGAGAAAATCATTTTTAGTTGTTTGACTTGAACGAAATTCAGATAAGTACTTAGGTATCTACGAAGATCTGTCCTCCGAATTTTCTCGTCTTATTTTAGCACCTCTTCTTGCACATTCATTAGCTGAACAGATTATTGTTCCGATCTGATATTAGTCGAAAATTCCAACGCCACCGAGCGAATTGTAGGTATGTATTTACGAGAATGAGAGGGTTCCAGACTTCTGATTAAACTGCTTTGAGTCGAGGTCTGTTAACTTTCTAATTTTACAGGTGGAAATGTTGGGTTTTTTCAATCTTCTTTTCACATTA